AGATGAGATGTTCTTCAACTCAAGCTGATCAGTGATCAGTGATTAGTAGGCAAAGTGAAGCATAAACCTGCTCAGCGGCGTGTCTCGCTTCATTATCTTGAACGGCTTGATGGAATTTCTTCGTGAAATCAATAAGTCTTGAGAAGAATGTATGTGGTTGTTGACTTCGTGCAGATTCACCATAAAATTCAACGCAAGCATTGAATGCCTCCTGAAAACAAGCTGAGTTCAATGTCAGTTCCCGAGCTAGAATAACACAAGTTGATAAGGACAAGCTGAAATGTCAATCAAGAACAACATTTTGATTGCTGTTAGGTTAAAATGATAAAAAAGGGCATAAGTTCATAAAAAATGTATGATCAATTCAACTGATGCATGAACGAACCGTTGCGGTTTTGCATTGAACTTGCAGATGATTGATTCGCTGTTGACACTTATCAATGAATGTTACCAAAGTTGACGGACAATCGTTCCCCTTCAAGTCTCGTTCTTTTTTTGCTAACCCGAAATTTGTTTCAACTTCACGCATATCAGCCAATACTGCCTCCCACATAACTGAAGTTTACGATTAGTTTTTGGAAAAATAACTCGATTATAACGAAATTGTGACGTTTTAATGTAATGAGACAATAAACTGTATGGATGCATGTTCTGAGGCATTAGTGAGATGAATTTTTATGTGATCATAATCAGAAATACTTAAGATGTTGAAGAGATCAAATGAGAATGATAACTAAACGTTTAAACTCACTTCCACTAGCCTTATCAGCGAATTTCAGCTCTGTAGCAAAATCCAGCAGATCAGGGAATGAACGCGCTATCGAATCGGTTATTATGTGCAGCAATGATAGAGATCGTTCAACGGAACTTTTCAGACCCGACAGCTGAAAACAATCAACGGATAATAGATACGTACATATTACTGGTGATGGCATCCGAGTAATATTTGGAATCCGAGCGAATTGACATTTTGAATTTTCGACAGTCTTAATTCCGACCGACCTTACAAACTATTCGGTCGAAATCTGAGTGTCAGAATTCCAACCGAAATTGTCGGATTTTTCCGATCGACCGTCGGTCGGATGCCAACATTACATATTACATTAGAATAGTTGGCGTGACTGTTAGCTGTTACTTCCCTTTGGTTGCACTGCCTAAAGCTGTCGCTCCATAATTACTCAAAAAATAATTTTGAAAAAACAACAGGATCGAATCTATGATTAAGCTAGATCAACGAGGAAGCTATCATCATCACTCGAGTCACAACTTTTTTACAGCCACGTTAACCGCACGATCACTCAAGCGAACATGGATGGATCTTTTCAAGAAATCAGATTCTGATACACATCTGAATCATCAGATGACTCGGATGTCAAGATCAGTTCTAAAACGCAAACTGTATTCATTCCTCTTCACATAAAACGAATCAAGCCATACCGTGTCCAAACTTGATATCTTGAAACCGTAAACGGCCCCTTTACGTCCACTGTTCATATAATTACCGTACGCAAGCATCACCTCGAGCACCTTATGGAATTTGACGGCGTCACGAACACATTTCGATGCAGCTGTTAAATTGACGAATTGCTGAAAATTACTTGGATATGAAAATTATCGATAGGAAATTCAAAAAGTTGAAAATGACTGAGTGAGATGAGCATCAAGCAGAGAAATATGAAATCGACTCACCGGTTCGAGCAAGTCAGCACTCTCTTCAAAAGTAGCCATGAACGACATGATTTTCACCTTATGTTCAAAGCGTTCAATCTTGACCAACTGTGCCAAGAACTGATCCTCTTCCGACAAATCAGACGTATTCTTATGATCGGCTTCATATCGACGGAAACGTGTCATTTCACTGCAGTTTATTCTCATTGATACTAATGCATTAGAAGGTGAATTTTGTAATCAGTAATAACGGAACCTCGGCATTACTAATTAAAAACATTAAAACGAACTCTTGAGTTGGTGCTATTTTCAGAAGAATATCAACACTTTCTGGCGGTAATGCTTCCAAATCCATTCGGTGAACCGCTGACATTATCTCGCTTGCAGACATCGCCAATTTACGTCGTGTTATTGCTTAAATCAATTTTGTTAAACTTATATCCATCCGAATGATACAAAGCGATTTCACTGTGTATCCTCTGGAGAGGGTTATCGTAAACGTTAATAAGAAGAACAGAATGAACGCTTGTGAGCACATAAAC